GCTATATCACCATCACAAACCAAGAGGCCAAACACAACAGGCCTTCATCCATATGAACTCACCCATATGTAGGAATAGGTTCCGAAACCCGGTATTAAACATTAAACGGGCCCTGGGGCCAAATTAAGGAAGACTGCAGTATCGATAAGCTCAGATGTTATCAGTTCTGCTGACGGTACTGAAGAAATTACACACACACTATTTATTATAGACATTATCTTGTGTCATTGTCATGTGTTTTTCAGGCTGGTTGTTTGTCATTTTGTAAGAGTAGAGAGAGGCTGTACCTCAGTGAAGACTTATTTTACATTAGATAATTCAATTTCCGTACCTGATAAGTTAGATTTTCCGAAAAAAACTTCATGCACTGCTTATTTCAATTGTATTTTTCTTCTATTGAATTTATCAATACTTGTAATTTGTTATAATTTTCAATGCAGATTCACTCAATAATCTCTTGAAATTTTTTTTATATCGCAATATATATAGCAGCAGATAAACAAAATATTTTATTTAAGGTTTTTAGTATTGTGCAGCTCTAATATTGAGCATTTAACCTGATTGAACCTGGAATTGTTATAATAACCTGGAATAATTTGTGATACCAGATGTATGATTATGTATGATAGATTTGAACTGTATTTTTTATTTTATTTTTTTGCAGGTTTTCTGGGATCCACAGTGGAAGGCATCAAGGCGTGAGATGTTGGCTGGACAGATGTACCTGTACACCACACCGACCTCTGCTTTTACATGGATGGCGGATTACTATCATGTTCTGTAAAGGTTTCATTATAGCAAAACAGAGCACCTGTGACAGTGGAATCTGTAGGTGTAACGTAGTCAGTTAAAAGTAGTCAGGTGTAAAGTAGTCACAGAGAGAACGTTTTTTTTTTTTTTTAAGTTTCAAACTTTTTTCTCTTTCACACAAAAAACACTGCAGTTACAGCTTTTCAAATTCTTCATTGGAGGTGTACAAATAATTTTCTTTTTTTCAAATCACAAAAAGGGCTGTGCAAAAATTAATTGCAATTAATCGCATCCAAATAAAAGTCTGTGTTTACATAATATATTTGTGTGTGCTGTATATAATTATTTTGTATTATATAAATACCTATGCATGCATGTATATATTTAAGAATTATTTGCACTTAAATTCTGTGTGTATATATATATATATATATATATATATATATGAATACATAATCTATATTATATAAATATAAATATTTTATATATGAATAACACATTTTCTTAAATATACATGCATGTGTGTGTATTTATATATACAATATAGGGCTGTGTAACGATTAATTGCATCAACAATAAAAGTTTGTGTTTACATGATATATGTCTGTATAATTATTTTGTATATATAAATACACACATATGCATGTATATATTTAAGAAAAATGTGTTATTGATATATCAAAGATTTATATTTATGTATAATATTAATTTTGTATAAACATATATACAGTACAAACATGCAAATATTTCTTAAATATATACATGCATGTGTGTGTATTTATATATACAAAATAATTATACACACTACACAAACGTATATAATTTATGTGAACACAAACTTTTATTTTGGATGCGATTAATCGTTTCACAGCCCTAATACAAAATAATTATATACAGCACACACAAATATATTATGTAAACACAGACTTTTATTTTGAATGCGATTAATCGCAATTAACTTTTGCACAGCCCTGTAAGAAATGTATGCTGACATTTAAGGCACGGCCACACGGGGTTTGAGCAAATGTGACTGTGAATGAAAAGTGAAGTGTGACCACATGAGAATAGCCAAACAGTATAGATGATTCACAAAATTATACACCAAGAAATGTGCATAATTGGCCAAAATGTTACTGTTTATCAACAAAAATATGACCCTATGAGTTTGGTAATTTTTAGAATAGGATTTGTGCACCTGCAATGAAGAATTTAACTGATGTTTTGTGTAACTGATGTGTTGTGTTTGTGAGAGAGAGAAAGCAAAGAAAAAGAGGTTTGCAACTCATAAAACATTTTCTCGAAGACTAAAAATCTACAAATTGCACTGTTATAGGGACTCTGTTTAGCTTCAATATTACTAGATATAATACAGTGTCAATCTTATTAACTACTATTTATTTTGTATAAAATCATATACAGTATACAGGTAAAAAATTTGGAAACATTTTGGAAGAAGTCTATTCTGCTTATCAAGCTTGCATTTATTTGCATTTATTTAAAAAAAAAAAACAGTAATATTGTGAAATTTTATCATAATGTAAAACAGCTGTTTTCTATGTTTCTGTTTTTTATGTGAATATATAATAGTGTAATTATATTATATATAATAACCTGAATTTAATGTTTTATGTTTTGTAATTAATAAATACATTGATTTGAAATCCCTTTGACTTCTGTACATTTGTGAAAATACAGAAATTAGTTATGTGGTGACTGCATTCAGATGTATAGAATAATTGTTTTTCCCAAAGACTTATAGTTATATTAGCCAAAAAGTATTTATAGTGAAACAGATTAATTGTGAACTAGATCTATTGTTGTAGATGCCCTGTGTGTGCGGTGCGGGCCCTGTGTGGGGTAAGTGAGGGCTTCCTTGGGGCTAAGTGAGGGCTGCCCATGCAGGGCCAACGTTTTGTGGGCCCAGTGTGCGGGCCCTGTGTGGGTTTAGTGAGGGCTAAGTGAGGGCTGCCCATGCAGGCCCAACGTTTTGCCAATGAGCAAATTCTCATGGGCCCTGCGCTAGCAGCCTGCAGGGGGCCCTTAGGCTAGCCCTAAGTGGGCCCGGACAGGGCCAGTGCAGGCTTGTTTGCAGGGTTACATATTCATGAAAAACCTGTGCAACTGTATCCTACTTCATACATCCACTAAAATTACTTTCGGCCAAATAGGTGGATGTTGCAAAAATGGCTATTTTGTTTGTTTGCAAATGGCACTTTGTTTGATATTTTCTAATGCAATGCCGTTGATGTACAGAACTGCTTTTTGGGGCCAGAGTATGAGCATGTTTATTGTTTGACTTTGTAAATTACAGTTAGGAAACCGAAATTGATATGATGTGGTTTTAAAGGCCCAAGACAACTCTAAATTTTAGACCCAAGACATTTTGGTTCCCTTTCAAGGGAACTCAAGCTGCGTTTGGAACGCGGTGGGAACGCTCTGCGTGATTGCGTCGTGAAGCACGTGTATAATCTGTCCAATGGAAGAACAAGACGTCATGGGCGATGACGTCATGACCAGGAAAACTATAAAGCACCCCAGAAAATAGACCGCATCAGCTTCTGTGCCTTCACAAGCGCTCTCTGTATGAAATTGTCCGTGTCTGATTTATTGTTGTCTGTCTGTTCACAATATATCGTGTAATGGCTAAACAAGAATACAAGCGTTGTGTTGTTCCCTGCCCTCGTTTCAT